GTCTTGAGGGCGCGGCGAAAAGATAGGAGATCCGGAATCGTCCGGATCTCGGGGGGTAGTTCGTTCCAGAGGGTGGGGGCACCCACAGAGAAGGCCCTCCCCCTGGGGGTCGCCAGCCGACACTGCTTGGCCGACGGCACCCTGAGGAGGCCCGCTCTGTGGGAGCGTACTGGTCTGTGAGAGAAAATCTGTGGCAGAAATATAGGATCACCATGCTTAAAGCTGGTGATCCTATAAGGATGTCCAGGGACAAGGAAATACAGGTAATCCTCGACCTTCAGTCACAACTGAGCCCAACATTTCTGTTGCTGAGACATTTCTTAAATGAATTTCCCCCCCTTTTACGACCTTTCTTGCCACGTTTGTTAAGTGAATCACTGCAGCTGTTAAGTTAGTAACATGGTTGTTAAGTGAATCTGGCTCAACCCCCATTGACGTTTGATTGTCAGAAGGTTGCAAAAGGTGATCACATGACCCTGGGACACTGCAACCGTCATAAATATGAGTCAGTTGCCAAGTATCTAAATTTTGATCACATGACCATGGGGATGTTGCACTGGTCATAAGTGTGAAAAATGGTTACATGTTTCAGTACCATTGTAATACTACTACTACTAATAGTAATAAAGTTGGAAGGGACCTTGGAGGTCATCGAGTCCAACCCCCTGCTCAGGCAGGAAACCCTACACCATTTCGGACAAATGGCTGTCCAGTCTCTTCTTCCAGCGTTGGAGCATTCACCGCTTCTGAGGCAGGTTGTTCCACTGGTTAATTGTTCTAACTGTCAGGAAGTTTCTCCTTAGTTCTAGGTTGCTTTTCTCCTTGATAACTTCTGAACGAACTGCTATAAGTCAAGAACTACTATAGGGGCCAAGTGGACAGGTGGCTTAAGACAAATGATATAATCTCTGTGATTTGACAGTTTTAGGAAAAAGGATTAAGAGATCTACTCAGCATCTCCTCTGCATCTCAGTCCTATAACAGGACTTCATTTTCTCCACAAAGGAAAGGAGGTAGGAAACCCTTTACAAAAATTACATTAATCTATTTTAGGTGTTTCTGGGTTTGTTTGTTTTTTGCCAGATATAGCCCAATGAGAAATCTTTGCCTGATCTGCTGTATCCAATGAAGCAATCGTTGGCTTCAAAGATTTCCAAATTATGACAGTGATGAAGTTATACATACCGTCCTAACCTCCAGCCATCTGTTGGCAGCAGAGAGGAATAAATATGCAATGTTGTTGGTGTCCGTCAGTTCCAGCATTCGCTGTTTAAATCTGGGCTCATGCCTGCAAAGGGGAAAAACCATCCTGACGTTATATGACTCAATCATCTGATGCCATCCCTCTGCAATAGGCAGAAAGGATGGCAGAATTCCAGGGAAGGGAACGGAGCAGTTGCAGAGTTACCCAAAAAAACTAAATTTGAGCAAATGCTGTGTATAAGAAGTTGCCAAGAGTTTTTAGGAAGCAAGCAGTGATGCTGTGCAGAGGTTGTTGGGTTTTTGGGGGTTTTTTTGCTTATGTCTCCCCATTAATTATCCTCTATTGCTTCTTCTCATCCTCCGTAATTCAATTTCCAATCCGATCAAAGATAACAGAATAACAGAGTTGGAAGGGACCTTGGAGGTCTTCTAGTCAACCCCCTGCTCAAGCAGAAGACCTTATACTATTTCAGACAATCTCTTTTTCAAAACCTCCAGTGATGGAGCACCCACAACTTCTGGAGGCAAGTTGTTCCATTGATTAATTGTTCTGTCAGGAACTTTCTCCTTACTTCTAAGTTAGTTCTTAGTCATTTGTCTGAAATGTAAAGGTTCTCCTGCTTGAGCAGGGGGCTGGACTAGAAGACCTCCAAGGTTCTACTCTACTCTACTCTACTCTACTCTACTCTACTCTACTCTACTCTACTCTAATTCTATTCTATTCTATTCTATTCTATTCTATTCTATTCTATCCTTGATTTTTTCCCCATCCATTGCTTCTTGTCCTGCTTTCAGGTGCTTTGGAGAGATGTTGATGTAGAAGTTCAGTGGGACTTGCTCCTTAGAAATAGAATTTCCCAGCTGATTAAATTTATCCAGAATTAGTGAAAAAGAGCCAATGCCACAGCTGGGCTTGGAGTCTTTGCTCTACAGTTGTGACTGGACTCCACTCCTATCAACATTAGCTAGCAGGATCAGTGGTCAACAATGACTAAACTTGCTATAATCCAGCAGTATCTGAAATACGACATTATTTATAGCCTTGCTCTGGAAAGATATTATCTTGTATCTGATTGTCTACCTGACCCTTATAGTGAGTTTTAATAATACTGTATTATTGAAGACATTGACTCTTCGGCACCTTATGACTACAGATCAGAAGGGGGCAGTAGGGTATAGGCAGAGAATTAAGGATTTACCCTGAGCCCCTCTTTGTCACTCTGCCTGGTCTTTGTCTAAGAGGTTGCTAGTCTGAGATCACTTCCTTCTGGCTTTCTTCCCAGGCACACTCACATGGAACCCTTACTCGTTGACATTCCTCATGGTTGGGATTACCAGAACACATTAAACTCTAACAAATACAGTACAACATTCCAATACAGGGTCATGAAAGTTTAGACTTGATGGACCCCATCGATGATCTCATGCACTGACCTAGAGATGTCCTCATTAAAAAAAAAGAAATGTCCCAAATCTCACAACTTCCATCAAGCATCTCATGACATGCTTGCATGACATTCTGAAGGGTTGCACTGTGTTTGGGGGAAAATGTTGCATATTCATGTGAACTTTTGCAAGATATCAGGATTTTCCCATGTGATTTCATAGTATATTACTCTTCTCATTTTCACAAAGGAAAACCCGAACCTCACTATCTCACAGTTTTGATCTTTTTTTTTCCCATTTTTAAATTAAAATCATTCAACGGTGTTGCTAATTCTTGGTTCAACCCATCACGGCCATTGTTTCTGCCCTAACATGGGTTGAGAAAGTAGGGAAAGAACCCCATTTAGCATAATTCCTCATCTACAGACACACCGGGAATTGTTTTTCTTCTGCCTAGCATACTAGGTAGATGTGCCCAATATATTTAACCTGGTGACTGAATTAATCCATTTCCTGGATTCGCACAATACTTTGAATCATCAAACAACTAATAGGCTCAGTTTGAACCATATGCTAAACAAGAAAATACAAATCAAGGTTAAAAAAAAAAAGTTAGCCAGCAGTAGGATCCTTGGTGTTCTCTGAACTTGGTTCTTTTCTTGCAGACATTTCATTACCAAACTAGGTAACATCATCAATAAATATTACCTAGTCTGGGTAATGAAATGTCTGCAAGAAAACAGCCAATTTCGGACAGCACCAAAGATTCCACAGTTCAATTCTGAGTTACAAATATTCTCCTGTATCGGTAAAATTAGCCAACTTTAGCATGTTGTGTGAATCAGTCACAAGGTCTAATTCTAGCCATTTTAGAGTGCAGAGAAGAGCAACAAAGATGATGAGGGGGCTGGAGGCTGAAACATATGAAGAACAGTTGCAAGAATTGGGTATACCTAGTTTAATGAAAAGAAAGACTAGGTGTGACAAGACAGCAGTGGTCCAATATCTAAGGGGCTGCCACAAAGAAGAGGTTTTAAAGAAGAGATTGGACAACCACTTGTCTGAAAAGCTATAGGGTTTCCTGCTTGAGCAAGGGGTTGAACTAGATGACCTTTAAGGTCCCTTCCAACTCTGTTATTCTGTTATTTGGCTAACGGTGTTGCATGAAGATAAGCACTGTCTCATTGGAACTGATCGTTCACATTCTGCTTAATTCGAAAGTCTCCTTCGAGCCAAGATAATAATAATAATAATAATAATAATAATAATAATAATAATAATAATAATAATAATAATAATAATAATAATAATAATAATAATAATAATAAAGTTGGAAGGGACCTTGGAGGTCATCTAGTCCAACCCCCTGCTCAGGCAGGAAACCCTATACCATTTCAGACAAATGGCTGTCCAGTCTCTTCTTAAAAACCTCCAGTNGGAGTTGAAGTCCGCAAGTCATAAAAGGGCCAAGTTTGAAGACCCCTGGTCTAACACATCTGGATGACTCCAGGCTGGGAAAGGAAACAGAAGCCCAGCTGTGTAGGGAAGTATTTTCATCTATAATTGTACAAATGATATTATCAGCTCAGAAGTCACAATCTTTTCTTGTTCTCCATGTGGGTGAATTTTCATTCAGCTTTGCAAATCCACCAGACTGCTCTCCCCCCCACTCCCCACCCCCAAAACAGAAACAATTGTACTGACTCTCTAACTCATTCAAACACATTTGGGTAGATTTAAAATACACCAAATTTGAGCAGCCCGGTGCCTCTAGCTGACTTTGCCTATTAGATTAATAGACCTATATTACTATGTGGCTGGAGTTCACACATAAGGCTTAATTCTGAATCCAGGTTGATGGAAGTGAGTGCCTGTGTTCACATAACCTTGCATGCCCAAACAGAGAGCTCCTATTATAGTTTGTTGTGATGGCTTTGCCCAACCTATATAAATAAGCCATACGCTACATTCCAACAAAATGCAGAACTCATGAATTCTACTTCCATTTTTACGTTGTCTAGGGTGTTGTGCGAACTCAACTTGTTTGTCGCCAGAGGACACCGATGTGCAAAGAACTGCACATGCAAAACATTGTGGCACAAAAAAGCCTTCCTACACACCATGCAAGACCCGAATGTATTATTCCAATAGCGTGATAATAACTACAGTCTGTTTCTGGCCTCTCTGACAGTTGCACATTCCCCCCCCCCTTTCTACCCCCTCTCCCTCTATGGAAACTCTGACACACTCAATCTGCATCATCTCATCTTCATTGTGCTCTTCTGCTTATTATTACTGCACTTTTCATCCTGTCCAAATGACGAATAGAAAGGTCACTTTGAAGAGGGCTGAGCTGTTCAGAGGTTACCTTGTGGTGGGAATGCATGTCTTCTGGATGGGTACTTAATGAACTCAGAACAAAGGGAAATAATTACCAGTCTTCAGCCAGTAAACCTTAGCTTTCTAATAAAACTCTGGAGGAGAAAAAATGGTCTTAGCTGTTGCAAAGATGAGGAGAGGGGAATGAAACCAACAGAATAACAGAGTTGGAAGGGACCTTGGAGGTGGTAATAATGATGATGATGATGATGATGATGATGATGATGATGATGATGATGATGATGATGATGTTGGAAGGGACCTTGGAGGTCATCGAGTCCAACCCCCTGCTCAGGCAGGAAATCCTACACCATTTCGGACAAATGGCTGTCCAGTCTCTTCTTAAAAACTTCCAGTGTTGGAGCATTCACCGCTTCTGGAGGCAGGTTGTTCCACTGGTTAATTATTCTAACTGTCAGGAAGTTTCTCCTTAGTTCTAGGTTGCTTCTCTTCTTGATCAGTTTCCATCTGTTGCTTCTTGTCCTGCCTTCAGGCGCTTTGGAGAATAGCTTGACTCCCTCTTCTTTGGGGCAGCCCCTGAGATATTGGAACACTGCTATCATGTCCCCCCTCGTCCTTCTCTTCGTTAGACTAGACATACCCAATTCCAGCAACTGTTCCTTATATGTTTTAGCCTCCAGTCCCCTGATCAGGCAGGAAACCCCATACTAATCTAATGGTTGTCCAATCTCTTCTTAAAAACGTCTAGTATTGGCACACCCAATACTGGAGGCAAGTCGTTCCACTGATTTATTGTTCTAACTATCAGAAATGTTCTCCTTAGTTCTAGGTTGGTTCTCTCCTTGATTACTTTCCATCTTCTGCCTTCAAGTGCTTTGAAGAATAGATTAAGCCCCTCTTCTTTGTGGCTGCCCCTTAAATATTGGAAGACGGCTATCACGTCACACCCTAGTCCTTCTTTTCATTAAACTAGACATCCTAATTCACTTCTGTTCTAGCTTTTGTTCTTTCTCCTCTTTATGCTGACCACAGATTTTTGTTGTGGTTTTTGTTTTCAGTGCCGCAGGAGCAAATGAAGGTCGTTCCATGTACAATTGATCTGATTAAGGGTCTTTTCCCATTGCTCAATTGCTGTTCACTTACATTGACCTGGCAGTCAACTACATTGACAAGAGAGTTGATGCTTCCATTGCTGGATCCCTATTTTGACTTAATTCCCTCTGTTCCCCATGAGTGCCATAATAATCCCTCCAGAAGAATGAGTGAGAAAACAGATTTGACACTCCTTTTTTGAGTCTGCCTTGACGTGGTGTTGGAAGAAGCCAGGAAGCACTACATCAGGGGTCTTCAAACTTGGCCCTTTTATGACGTGTGGACTTCAACTCCCAGAATTCCTCAGCCAGCAAGTCATAAAAGGGCCAGGTTTGAAGATCCCTGCACTACATGAATACCATGAATACTATGGCCCCTTTATGACCTGAGGACTTCAACTCCCAGAATTCCAGAGGCAGCCATGCTGGCTTAGGAATTCTGGGAGTTGAAGTCCACAGGTCATAAAAGGGCCATCGTTCCCCACCCCTGCTCTAAAGGATGACTTTTAGGCTGTCTCTTTCAAGGTCTCCAAATGAGAAAAAGACAACTTCATAAAGATGTGGCAAAAATGAACGTGGTTTATCTTGCTGAGGGGAGGTAGAAGCAGAAAACGACTCTAATACTATTAAAATGGCTTCTCATTTGCCAACCTGAATGCTCTGATGGTCGTGAGGCCTTCTGCAGTCTCGGAAAAGTGGCAAAGTAGAGGCAACTGGGTACTATCATCAAGTTCCTGGAGATCCCTATTACCAAGAGAAAGAAGGTAAATTGTAAGCCAAGAAGAAACCATATTTCTAGTAAACAAATACCTCGTTTTCCTTATTAAACTATGGAATCGCTTGATCTCCCTAACCAAAAAGGTGACAATCTTTTATTGTCGTTATGCAACAATGGAAGTTATCCATTGGAAGCCACCTATCTAAAGGATCTTAAGACATCAACAGAGGAGGAAGCCACCCATTTTCTTTCAAAAGTATCTGTTTCTTTCTTTTTTCTTTTTATAAAACAAGTTTTATTGATTTTTTCTTTTTACAACCAAGTGCTTGAGAAACAACGTGGTGACAGGGTAATCAATTATCCAAAAGCAAAATCATACATATGTAATTCAGATTAAATCATTAAAAACTCCCTCTCTATTCCCTCAAATAATATAATATATTCAAATTAATGTATTTTTCAATAAAGTTCAATCAATCAAAACAATCATCAATAAAATTTCATCTATATGAATCCAAATCCTGTATTGAGCTTTACTATTTACAATGACCATATTCCAATTTGGTTTAGATAACCATATTATTAACACTTCAGGTGTCTCTCCTTTCCCTTTTTCCTTAACATAATCAGTGACTCACTTATTAATATCATTTCTTCTTTTATCAACCCCTCTTATTCTCCTTCCATTACAAAATAACTATCCTTCCTAAAAATAAGAATATTACTCCAAAAATACATTTCTACTCTATTTTAAATCTATAATCTATCAATCAATCAATATTTATGTAAAACTCTTTTAACCCTCTCAGTAAAATTTAAATCCGATCCAAATAATTATTATATCCACAACAAACATATTAATACAAAAACAAACATCTTCTCACTAAGTTCACATATTTAATTAATCTTTATTCAATCAGGATCTCTAACGTCTTATTTACCAATCTTAAACCTTGAGTCAATCTTTCTTTCAGATACCCACTTATTTATTTTTGTTTTATTTATTTATATCCCTCCTTTGTCGTTTTTTAAAATAAATGACTCGCGGCAGCAAACTTACCTAATACTTCTTCCTTCTCCTATTTTATCCACAACAACAACCTTGTGGGTTGAGAGAAAGTGACGGGGCCCAAAGTTACCAGCTGGCTTTCATGCCGAAGGCGGGACTAGAACTCACAATCTCCCGGTGATTGGCTCAAAGTCACCTAGCCGGCTTTCATGCCTAAAGAAGGACTAGAACTCACGGTCTCCTGGTTTTTAGCCTAATGTCTTAATCACTAGATTCTTTTTCTTCCTTCCCTTTTACCCTCCTTTTCTTCTTTATTTGCTGTTGCCAGAGGTTTAAATTATTTGGACAAAACCACTGTTTAAAATTAGCCTGAGGACTTGCCTGGGTTTAAGCCAAGAACCTTGAATATGCATTCTTATGACTGCACATTGCCCAATGCTGCCACAAACAGTCCCCCTGCTAGTGATAACAAACATCACAATTCTAATGTCGACCATTAGTTAAATATTTGGTCCCTTTGTGTTTTTGTTTTTGTTTTTGTTTTTTTAAAAAAAGAGAGAAACGAAAAACTTACTTGGATGCAACCCTGAAGTATTTCTGGATGAAATAAAACGCTACTCCAAGAGGCAGGAGAGCAAGTAGGAAGTAGGAGGTGGCATATGAAATCATCCCGACAGCAGAAAGGCAGAGTAATGTTGAACGGGAGAGGGATTCCACAGTTGGTGGAATGTGCTGCAGCAAACATAAGCGATAAGTGTAATGTCAAACCACAGCCACTGTGGTAGAAGAGAAGGCAGAGCTGGGTGATGGAGTTAAATGTGTCATTAGCTTAGAGCAGGGGTAGGCAACCTTGGCTCTTTTAGGACTCGTGGACTTCAACTCCCAGAATTCCTGAGCCAGCATGGCTGGCTCAGGAATTCTGGGAGTTGACGTCCACGAGTCATAAAAGAGCCAAGGTTGCCTACCCCTGGCTTAGAGTCTTTATTTTGCCACAAACAATCGAAGTCCAGCCTCACCTTGAATTCCTTTGACTCTTATCTGGGGCCAATTTAGTGCTGACCTTTAGTTGACTAGATTTTTGTGTACAGATTTCTGTGCTGTAGCTTAACCTATGGTCCTGATGCTTTGCTCCTGACATTAATCTAACCAACGGCCAGCACTAAATTGGCGCTAAAAAAAAGTGGAACACGGGGGGGGGGGGGGATAGACATGGATTATTTGTGGCAACATAAAGATTCTAAGCTGATGACACGTTTAACTCTGCCTCCCAGCTCTATCTGATCTTCTTCTACAGCCATCCAGTTACAGCATTTATTTGAAAGAAGGTTAATCTCAAATTTAAGAAGGGCCCCCTCAAAAGGAAAAATAGACAGAGGAACAGTTAAAAACACGTTGGAAAATCCTGCGTGATGCTCAGCTTCCCTACCATGTAACCTGAATCTTTCTCCCCCTATGGATCTATGCATATTGAATAAAACTCACCTGCTTCTGTAGAAGACAAGATGGGAGATATTTGTGCAGCGTGTCCTCTAAAATTGCACATCAGGCAGGCTCTCATTGGCTAGAACTCTTGCCTCATCCCAGCTGCCAACTCCTTTTCTACTCAATTAAAATTGCAGGAGGATGGATAACATATACAGGTGGTCCTTGCTTCCTGCCTGAGCAAGGGGTTAGACCTCCAAGGTCCCTTCCAACTCTGTTATTCTATTCTATTCTATTCTATTCTATTCTATTCTATTCTATTCTATTCTATTCTATTCTATTCTATTCTATTCTATTCTATTCTATTCTATTCTATTCCACTGAGGGTAATTGGGACCAGGAACTCTGTTACTAAGCAACACAGTTATAAGACATGGTGTCACATGACTGATCCAACTCACGACAGTACCAGTTCCCATTGTTAGGCACATCCTGGGTGGTTGAGGTGTCCTGGAGTCAAGCGATTACCATTTTGACTTCCTGCCAGCTTCCCCATTGACTTTGCTTCACGGAAGCCAGCAGTCAAGGTCACAAATCATAATCACATGACCACAGGATACCGCAGTGACCACAACAATGACGACGTGTTCAGCACCATTGTAACTATGAGCAGTTGCTGAATGAATGGTGGTTAAGTGAGGACTACCTGTTTTGCAGTGTGATCAGCATTGTTTCAAGATTTGTGTACTGTTCCAACCACACATGAAACCTGTAAAGGGGCTACAAATCCCTTTTCATACATGGAGAACCTATCTAGGCCAGAGTTCCCCAACCTTTTTGGTTTTGCAGCCTGTAGGGAGGGGGAAGAGGGGATGGTTCTGTGTGTGCAGTGGGCAAGCACGCGTGCACACAGTTCCATTTGTGTGAGCACCCGCCACTTCCATGGCCTGGGGGATAGGGACCGTTGATCTGGATAAAATATCCATTTCCCCACAGCGTGTCAACACTGCTAACATCGGATGTTTTTGCTTTGACAACAGATAGAGATGCAACCATTTTCTTCTCATGTTTTACTCTTAGAGTTAGAGTTAGATGATGCTGGGGGAAGGAATGTGCATTAGCTAGACATAACAACACTGAACCGAGCATGAGAACCATGGTTATTGAAATAAGAGATGATAAGAATTGGGGGCTGGAGAACTGGAGGGGAAGCCTGCATTTCAAACTAATTGGAGAATGTGATTTATGACTGTTAATTGGAGGAGGGAATTGTGCTTTGATACTATGTGCTCAGGGGAGGAGAACAAATCAAGGTGCTCACCTGATCAATAATATTTGTATCAGCAGAAAAACGGTTCAGAATTAGCCCCAAAGGTGTCGTATCGAAAAATCTGTAAAGGGGGAAGGAATAGTAAACGGTTATACAGTATAACCCAGTTATTTTATTTTATAAATGATTATTTTATTTTGTTTCATTTGTTTCAGTTCCTTCTCTTACACTAAATTACATCAGATGCCAGCTTTCCAAAACTGAACGACAAACAAATCTTCCCGTTTGATGAAATCATCTAGGCAAAATTTCCCTTCCCTCCCTGAAATGAAGGAGACATGGACAACACAACACAAGGCCTTCTCTGGAGTGGCCCCCACATTTTGGAACTTTTTATTTGTGACTGTTGACAAAGTTCCCTCCTTTGGGACATGAGAAGACTACAAAAGTTGGTTTTATTCCACTCAGCTGTCAGCGCTTATTAATTGTTCCCTTCATCCATTTTGTAGCCAACTGATCTTATGATGCTTCTTTTTTATATTTTTGGAATGCTGCATCTTTCCCAGGTTCTTCTGATTGGGACAGATGATAAAATTGAGAAAGAAAGGAAGGAAGGAAGGAAGGAAGGAAGGAAGGAAGGAAGGAAGGAAGGAAGGAAGGAAGGAAGGAAAGACGAAGGAAGGAAGGAAGAAAAGAAGGAAGGAAGAAAAGAAGGAAGGAAGGAAAGAAGGAAAGAAGGAAGGAAGGAAGGAAGGAAGGTAGGTAGGTTACATCTTTCTGGATCAAGTTATGGTTATGAGATTCCAGGAGGTTTCTAAAAGCAGGGCCTGGTCGAATGGGACAACTTGCCATGGTCAATTGGCTCCAGCCAACTTGCTATTCATTGCAGGACAATTCAACAACTCAATTTAATTATTTAAAATAATTTTAAAATAATTTTAATTTTACATTTCATTTTATTCCTCCTTTTGCATGCTTTCTTAATGATTCTATTCCACCATTTCTTTGATACTAGGATAACTCTTGTCCTGTGGCCAGTTGGCCGTGATGAGGCCACCCCAACGATGCCCTTGACGTGATGACCCGTTGCCTGGAGGCCGTACGGGTCTGGATGGGGAGGAACAGACTCAGACTCAACCCTTCCAAGACCGAGTGGCTGTGGTTGCCGGCGCCCCGGCATAGTCAGCTGACTCCATCGCTGACTATAGGGGGCGAGACTCTGGCCCCCTCAGAGAGGGCACGCAACTTGNCCAGGCAGTGTCGGCTGGCGACCCCCAGGGGGAGGGCCTTCTCTGTGGGTGCCCCCACCCTCTGGAACGAACTACCCCCCGAGATCCGGACGATTCCGGATCTCCTAACCTTCCGCCGCGCCCTCAAGACATGGCTTTTTCAACAAGCGGGACTGACCTAGGGTGAATTTTAAATAGGGAATAATTTTTAAAATTTTTTAAAGATTTTAATAATGACACAGCCATTAATATATTTGCTTTTTAATTGGTTTTATAGGGGAAATGTTTTTTGTGTTGTTTTTTAACATGCTGTGAGCCGCCCTGAGTCCCTCTGGGGAGAAGGGCGGCATAGAAGTTTAAAAAATAAATAAATAAAATAAAAATAAATAAATAAATAAATGAGTTGGTCATGGCAAGTTGACTGCAGTGAGTTGGCCATGTTGAGTTGGCCATGGCAAGTTGACTGCAGTGAGTTGGCCATGGCGAGTTGGCCGCAGTGAGTTGTCATAGACAACTGGGCCTGGAGCCTTCAATTTTTGAGCCACTTTGAAGGAACTAAATTTTTACTGCAGAGTACTGTACCTCATCAGCTCCGCTGGGACAAGTGATTTGAAGAACCAATAGAGTTGAGCTGGGTGGATATTAAGATCTGTGCTGCAACTATCTTAATGGCCAAGAGAGGGCAGTAAAAGTGGATATAAAACTATTTATGCTGCCTTCTAGTGGTCCTTTGAATTATTGCAGCTGAGATAAGATAGCGTATTCTAAGTACTGATCCAGTCATTGTTTCTCAGTATGAGCAGTTCATCTGCAGAAGAAAGGGCTAAACACAATGGTGGGATTCAAATATGTGAACAACTGGTTTTCTGTGTAGATGCCTCTTCCGGAAGTCCGTTCTGGGCCTGGGCAACAAAATATTAGCTACCGGTTCTGCAGAACTGGTGCGAACTGGCTGAATCCCACCACTGGCTAAACAGCCTTGCAGGTGGTGTTATTTTCCTAAAACAATAATTAAGCTATAGTTATGATTGGAGTAGCATAGAAATTTAATAAAATATTAGCTAGCCAGCTAGTTAGCTAGATAGATGATAGATAGATAGATAGATAGATAGATAGATAGATAGATAGATAGATAGATAGATAGATAGATAGATAGATAATTATTTATTGAATTGACATGCCTCCCATATCACCTCCATTATGATTTTGGGCAACTAAATATGTGAGTGGATGGTGGATTGATGGACCAAATCATACATACTTCTTTTTCTTTGGAGTTTACCAAAATCCAGTTACTTGAAGTGCATTCAGTCTTCTCCACTAATCTACCAAATACTATTCTCAGCAATGATCAGCTGTTTGAAGTCTAGCCCCTAAAGACCCATCCACTAGGCACTACATCTTTGCTCCTGGGTTCTCCAACCCAAGTTCTGAACCTCAGTGGCTGCTTCTATCTACCAAGAGGAACATGATGTTTCTGTACCTGATGGGTCCGAGGATGATCTTGTTGAGGAGATCATGATAAAGGTTCTTAGCAGCCGCAAGGCCCATCCATTCAACGGTCAAAGACGTGACAAGGCAGAGAACAATGCCTGCCCCACTGAGAATGCTGAACACTGCAACGTGGCATGTCTGTTCCAAAACAAGGATAGCAATAGCACTTAGACTTATATACTGTGTCACAGTGCTTTACAGCCCTCTCTAAGCGATTTACAGAGTCAGTATTATGCCCTCAACAGTCTGGGACCTGGCAAAGGGATTCCCTCTTCTAGCCTTCAGGAAATGCTTTGGCAGTCAAACCAATGAGCTGCTGAGTTTTCTGATGTGGGAAGAATCCAGAGAAGGAAACATTTGGGGGAATGTTAAAAAGGCAGAATATATTTCCCCAAAGGAATAATGGAGAAGATCTTTTTAAAAAGACAGAAACCAGCCCCCAGAAACCAGCCCCACCCCCTAGGCAGAGGCCAGCTTTTAGAAATGCAAATTCAATAATCCTTTCAGAAAGGTTGGAGCCTTTCAGCTAGAAATTGAAGAAATTAGGAAGACAAAGACCCTTAAAATCTACATACCCCACCCAAACCCTAAGACAGAACAGAACAGGATTAACCCACCAATGCCAAAGGGGCACGCTCAGACCCAGGTCAAAGTGCATGACACAGGAAATAAAAAGCCTCAAACAGGAACAGAAAACAACCTCAAGAGCCCCAGAAGGTATAAAAACCCACCACTCTCTGCTACATGTGGTCAGTTTTTTCAGAGCCATCTTTCTGTCTGGCTCTCCTCTTCAATAAACTACAACCTTCTTTCTAAAGCGGTCTCCATTTTGTTTATTCCCCGCTTGGATTGGACCCTGATGAAGATTTTTTCTTTCGACACCGACTTGCAAACGCAAACAGCTTTGGGATTTTATTTAAGCAGAACACGGCAAACCCCAAACATTATTTGCAGAAGCTCAACCAGTTTGCATAAAATGCCGTTCTTAGTTCGAGTCCTTCATCTCTCTTTTCACACCGGGCTAAACAGACCCTCCAAAGGGGATTTGAAATTCCTGCAATTGGTGAAGGAGGATCCTTAGTTCATTTCCGAGAACTCTCTTGCTAAGCTGTGACTAAGTTTCCAGCAGCAGACAGAAAAAGAGATTTCCTTGAATCTCTACAGAATGTCCCTGTCACGTTTACTTGACCGCTTTAGAGGATACGTTTATTCTGGGCAGCTCACAATTAATAAGGGGACGTGGAGAGCTATTTAACACTGAGTGCTTATTACAGCTTTTTTTCCCTCCCCCCTGAAGAATTATCCGGAGGTATTTATAACTGAGAAATCATTTCTAATTTAACACTGAGGAAAGTTTATTCAGTTTGACTTTCTGCATTGCTGATGCAGCGGAGAAAAATTATGGCTGTGGCCCGCAGAGTTAATCTTAAATGCTGCAGTTTGTTATTACTGATGTAAACAGAGGAATGAGACTAAATACATTCAGGGGTGACGTTAAGTATTTATTTAATAAATGTTAGATTAGGTAACATCTACTCAAAGTCAGAAATGACTTCTCGTAAGTTCATGGATATTCCATGTTGTTTTCTTGGAAACATATGAAAGTGGTTTATTTATTCATATTCCTCCTTTATTATTATTATTTTTACAAATAACTCAAGATGGCAGACATTTCCAACACATGTAAAAAAGATGCTGAGACTCTAGAAAGAGTACAGAGAAGAACAACAAAGATGATCAGGGGACTGGAAGCTAAAACATATGAAGAACGATTGCTGGAATTGGGTATGTCTAGTTTAACGAAGAGAAGGATGAGGGGGGACATGATAGCAGTCTTCCAATATCTCAGGGGCTGGCCCAAAGAAGAGGGAGTCAAGCTATTCTCCAAAGCGTCTGAAGGCAGGACAAGAAGCAATGGATGGAAACTAATCAAGGAGAGAACAACCTAGAACTAAGGAGAAATTTCCTGACAGTTAGAACAATTAACCAGTGAATTTAGTTTTGGGGTTCAACTATGTAGTGCCGATACTTTGTTTCCTGAATAAAATGTTCTTTAAGGAAGAATTCTTGCCTTGAAGTTCTTTTGATGGGTTTCATCTGTCGGAACCATGACAAGTTCATCAGAGACTCTTTTTCAGCCTGCCTTCTTCTCCATTGTTATTACTTAAATATCTATGGAGATTCTCAATCATTCAGGTCATGGGTTGTCCCAAAGGTGCTTTTTTTCCATGAGGCAACTGGACTTTCTTGTTTTTCTCTGAAGACATTTCACTTCTCATCGAAGTAGCTTCTTCAGCCCTGACTGGATGATGGGGAGTGGAAGGATTTATACTCCTTGCAACAGTTCAACAGTTCCAAGAAGGCTCCACACCCGTTTGCACCACTCAGGTGACCCTGACAACACAGATAAGCCTCCAGGGGCATCAACGACTCTCTAAAAGAATGCAAATGACCAGCTGTCTGCAAGGAGTATAAATCCTTCCATTTCCCCACCATTCAGTCTGAGCTGAAGAAGCTTCTTGGATGAGAAGAAAAATGTCTTCAAAGAAAAACAAGAAAGTCATTAAATCAAGGTCCTACTCTCGCCATTAAACATTCACCTACCTTTTTGGAGCAAAGCGTTTGGGTCTGATTCGCAGATGTCCACTGAGCCAGCCAAAAGTCAATAGCAACCATGACCGAGTGTTTCAAGAGTTTGGAGAAGATCATCAAGGAGAGCAGAAGAAAACCACCCGAAGTGAGATAGAGCCAACAAGTCTTCCAGGGCATCTTCATCCTGAGTGGCATTGCAGCAGATATGCTGTCATCTTCTTCCTCTTCCTCCTCTTCCTCTGAAAAGTTACAGATGTCACTGAGTCAATTAACCTGGACAATTTAGTATCCCCCACAAGATCAACAGAGATATAGTGAGATTCTAGGTAGTGATAGACATTCAAATATGGCCTCATAATTGCACCACCAGGTTCTAGTAGCAAAGCGACGATAGTCACTGAGCAGGAGACCCCTACCATTTCAGACAAGTGGCTGTCCAGCCTCTTAAAAACCTCCAGTGATGAAGTACCTACAACTTCTGGAGGCAAGCTGTTCCACTGGTTAATTGTCCTCACTGTTAGGAAGTTTCTCCTTAGTTCTAGGTTGCTTCTCCCCTTGATTAGTTTCCATCCGTTGCTTCTTGTCCAGCCTTCAGGTGCTTTGGAAAATAAGTTGACCCTCTCCTCTTTGTGGCAGCCTCTCAAATACTGGAATACTGCTATCGTGTCCTCCCTCATCCTTCTTTTCTCTAGACCAGCCAAACCCAAATCCTACAACTGTTCTTCATATGTTTTAGGTCAGCAAAATCCTGAGTCTCAAGGAGAGAGGGGTCCTACCTCCCACTTTCCTGTTGCCAACTTATTTTCAAATTTTAGCCTTTTAACTGTTGACGAAATGCCGCTTACTAGAAAGTCATTCATAGCAAGCATGTATGAGACCTAAAAGGCTTCACGTTTATTGCTTTAATGTACAGTCATGCATAATTACCCCCCCTTTTTTTAACAAATCAAACAAAATAACACCCACAGTACCTTCATCCTCATCCTCCAGCTGTGTTTTTGATTCTCTTGGGTACATGGCTCTTCGGAGAGTTTTCCTTTCTAGAGTAGTTTGATCAGCGTCCATATCCTGCATAGGGGCATTAAAAATTTGTTACAAAGACTTTTTAGAATGTGAGGTGAGGACTATCATTTCAACCTGAGGAGTGGGTTGGGTTTATCCCTCAGGCAGGGGTAGGCAATCTTGGCTCTTTTATGACTCGTGGACTTCAACTCCCAGAATTCCTGAGCCAGCATGGCTCAGCATGGAAACCTCTCCCTTTCCCCTCAGCATGGCTGGCTCAGGAATTCTGGGAGTTGAAGTCCACGAGTCATAAAAGAGCCAAGGTTGCCTACCCCTGCCCTAAGGGTCAGGAATTCTGGGAGTTGAAGTCCACGAGTCATAAAAGAGCCAAGGTTGCAGTGCTTTACAGCCTCTCTAAGCAGTTTAGAGAGTCAGTCTATTGCCCCCAACAGTCTAGTAATGGATTGCTGTTTTATTATGCTAGCAATTTTACAATTTTAGTGGTAGCATGTATTTCAATTAACACTGGTAGACCTGAATTTGCCTGCTTGTTTCTTGATGTGACCACCGCAACCTTTCCCCAAGAGACTTACATCAAAGAAGATTTGGATAGAAATGTCACCAAAGGTCAGCACGTATGGATCAAACCAGGCCTCCATTTTCCCGCTCTTCATATTTACCTTTTCCAGTTCCTGGTCTTGACGATTCATGAGAGTTTTCCAGTGGTCGTACAGCTCCACGTCTTTAGTTTGGATGTCCTTCAGGGTCCCTTCTCTGAGAACAGTGCCATCTTTCATGGCAATGATCTAAGAAGGAAAAGTAAACCATGAAGCTCTTCCATAAATATCTGCCTGTTTGGATGTCGGAAATCTATCTGTGGGTGAAATTATAAAAACTGTAGCGTGAGGCATCTGGAATCATCTACCGGTGCTGACCTTGTTGACCTCAGAACTGATTCTAGACGTCAGTCCTGGGAGCTTAATAGAGTCTATGCATAGATTACAGGTGTTCTGTTTGGGACTTAGTGAATTAAGCCAGCACACTTTAATATTATTATCAGATAATAAATCTGAGATGGCATGGCATAGATTAACATCACTTTTCTACCAAGGATGTCTTCTTAACTAGTTGCCTTCTCTTCCAGTTGTCAGTAACAAAAGAGCTTCTTTGTACCATGATGAATTCTGAGCAGCAGATGAATTCTGAGATCAAACCTACATTTCATTCATCCATGACTCTTGCTTAGACACCACATCTGTGAGAATCGATTTGTATCCAGTCGTTGAAGCAAAATGCTGCCCCTGAATCCTTTACCCTTGTCTTCGTTGATATAGACATGTTTGTCATATAGCCTGTTTGGTCTAGGGTTAGAACCAGGAGACGTGAGTTCTAGTCTTGCCTTGGCCATGAAAGTCAGCTGGGGGACTTTGGGCCAATCCATCCACCCATCCATCCATAATTCTCTGTCTGTCTGTCTGTCTGTCTGTCTGTCTGTCTGTCTGTCTGTCTGTCTGTCTGTCTGTCTGTCTGTCTGTCTGTCTGTCTGTCTGTCTATCCGGCCATCCATCCATCCATCCACCCATCTACCCATCCATATATCTATCTCCCTCCCTCCCTCCTTCCCTCCCTCCCTCCCTCCCTCCATCCATCCATCCATCCATCCATCCACCACCCACCCATCTTACCCAGTCAGCATGTGGAAGATACTGCAGTTTATGAGTCACTAAGACGAGTGTCCTCTTGTCATCTTTCAGGAACTTCACAATGCCTTCTTGCATTAAGTGGTCACTGAGGTGAATGTCCAAGGCAGAAAATGGGTCATCCTGGAATTCCATATAGGAAATTAACCAAAGCCTCACAAAAGAGATATTATATTCTATCTTATTGTCTCCAGCACCTCTTGTTATCGCTACCTTACTTCTGCTACACATACTGGTAGAATGGCATTCCCACTGATAATATTCAATACCGCACTCTCAATGCTGATGGAGGGGAGATAGAAGATGATTATAGATCTCCTTCTTTAATTTGCTTACGCATTTTTTGGTCTTGGCCAATAAATTAATTCAGTTAAAATATTACTTTCCTCCTTTAAATTAATGAGTTTTTCACAGTCATCATCTCTTTAAAATTATAGCTGTCTTAAACCTCTAAGTGAGATTGGGCAACTTTTTTTTAGCTGATGCATCACCTAAAAATTTGGTGAGGGGATACAGGGACACGATAGACAAAACTTTCTCCCACTTTCATATTTTTACTAAGTTTGGGAACTCTGAAAAGAAGCAAGTTATTTTCCCATTTTCAGTATATTGTCAACACATACAAACACTGAATATTTGCCTTGCCATCCAAATCTGGTATTATAAACTGGGGGGGCAGGGTGGAAAAAATAATATCTAACAGCCAAGTAGCCAGGGAGTCCTCAACTTACGACCACAATTGAGATCACAATTTCTGTTGCTAAGTAAGGTGCTTGTTAAATGAGTCACGGCCGATTTTTGCCAGTGACGTTCACACGAGTGAGGCCGCGAGCGCTCGCGTGAGGCCTTGAGCGCTCACACAAATGGGGTCGTGAGCACCTGCAATGCTCGCACAAGTGGGGCTGCAAGCCCCCGCGACGCTCAAGGGAGTGGGGCTGTGCACACCAGCCAGCCACTCACGTGATCTGATTGTGAATAGGCCCCAGACCGGTAGTAGGCTGTGGCCCACAAGTTGGAGACCCCTGATCTAGATCAGTGTTTCTCAACCTGGGCAACTTTAAGCCATGTGGACTTCAATTCCCAGAATTCCCCAGCCAGCCATGCTTAAAGCTGCCAAGGTTGTAGAAACACAGATCTACAGTAGATCGTTTTGGATGGAACCTAGATTCTTCTTTCTCCTGGTTTTGAAACTGCTTTTGCCTCTTTTAAAGTGCTTTTCACTTACCAGGAAGACGATGCTGGTGTTTTGGTAGAGCGCTCGAGCGACACAGATGCGTTGCCGTTGACCTCCGCTCAAATTAATTCCCTAATGGGTATAATAAACCATAATTTTCAGTCGACTGCCCAAACATTGCAGCATCTTTATGGACAAGCCCTTGAAAAATACCAACTATTTTTAAAAAAAAACATCCTAAAACTAAACTTCTTCCAAATTTATATGACATTGGTTTATTCAATCTCAGCGCTGTTGGCTACCTAAAGTGTGAACAGTCTAAAGGAGAAGAAAAAAGATCTTGGCATATAAGCAGGGATTGTTGTTGTTTAGTTGCTAAGTTGTGTCCAACTCTTCACAACCCCATGGGCCATAGCAAGCCAGCCCCCCAGCCCCGCCCTCCATGCCAGTGCAGTGGTGGCGAACCTTTTAGAGACCGAGTGCCCAAACCGCAACCCAAAACCCACTTATGTATTGCCGGGTGCCGGGTGGGCGTGGCCCACTGGGTGGGCGTGGTTATGGTGGTCATGGCAGACTGGGTGGGCGTGGCCAGGGTGGGTGTGGCCTGCTTGATGTTGCTCCTGGAGAGGGATGCCTGTGGGGGCCGGGCAGGGTTGGGGGAGATCCAGGGGGTTTCTGGAGGGTGGGGCAGTGGGCAGGAGGGTTGGCCCAAATTCATATTCATTGTGTTGATGACACTATCTAGATATCTCCTCCTCCACCATCCCCTTAATAATAATAATAATAAAGTTGGAAGGGACCTTGGAGGTCATCGAGTCCAACCCCCTGCTCAGGCAGGAAACCTTATACCATTTCAGACAAATGGCTGTCCAGTCTCTTCTTAAAACCTTCCAGTGTTGGAGTATTCACCACTTCTGGAGGCAGCTTGTTCCACTGGTTAATTGTTCTAACTGTCAGGAAGTTTCTCCTTAGTTCTAGGTTGCTTCTCTCCTTGATCAGTTTCCATCCGTTGCTTCTTGTCCTGCCTTCAGGCGGTTTGGAGAATAGCTTGACTCCCTCTTCTTTATGGCAACCCCTGAGATATTGGAAGACTGCTATCATGTTCCCCCTCGTCCTTCTCTTCGTTAAACTAGACATACCCAATTCCAGCAACCGTTCCTCATATGTCTTAGCCTCCAGTCCCCTAATCATCTTTGTTGCTCTTCTCTGTACTCTTTCTAGAGTCTCAGCATCTTTTTTACATCGTGGTGACCAAAACTGGATGCAGTATTCCAAGTGTGGCCTTACTAAGGCATTCTTCTTTCGCCTTCCATCTTTCCTAACATCGGGGTCTTTTCCAAGGAATCTCTCTCTCTCTCTCTCATACAATTGTAATAAGCAGGGATAAGACATTCCAAAACACTGTGAGCTATAAATACCACCTTATGGCAAAGCTAACTGGTAACGGAACGGATTGGCCAAGAACCGTGAAGCACTTCATACTTGCTCCATGAAGTTGCCATGAAGCTCAAAGCCATTTGATGGCATGACAAACCTCATCAGGAGTGGCAACACATGCAGAAGCAGTAGTAGGCAAGAAAGAAAAATGCAGGTAAAACCAGCCACTTAATTTTAAGGTGGACATCCCAAGCTGGGTAATAAAATATTGAAGGCATTGAAAAGGCATTGTAACTGCCCAATAGGCTGGGCAGTGACATCTTTGAAAGGCTGTCACAGAGAAGAGGGGGGTCAACCAATTCTCCAAAGTACTGAAGGCAGGAGGAGAAGAAACGGGTGGAAGATCATTAAAGAGACATCCAACCTAGAATTAAGGAGAAATTTCCTGACAGGGCGAACAATTAATCAGTGGAACGGCTTGCCTCCAGAAATTGTGGATGCTCCATTACTGGAGGTTTTCAAGAAGAGACTGGACAGTCATTTGTCCAGAACGACATAGATATCTCCTACCATGGGCAGGGAGTTGGACTAGAAGACCTCCAAGGTCCCTTCCAACTCCATTATTCTATGTTCTAAGTAGTAGGATGAATGCAAGGGTGGGATAATCTGATTTTCTCTAAAGGCTGTGTTTCCCGAGATCGTATTTCTTCAAAGCCATCTTTACGACTAACAGGACTAAATTTGGAAGACTAAGGTTCAGCAATATAACACTCCAGAGTGGTTTACAGCAGGGGTCCTCAACCTTGGCAACTTTAAGACTTGTGGACTTAAAGGAAGGAATTCTGAGAATTGAAGTCCACAAGTCTTAAAGTTGCCACGGTTGAGGACCCCTGGTTTACAACACTCTGGGCAGTTTACAATGTCAGCATTATTTGCATTTTGCCCCCAGCAATTTGGCTTCTCCTTTTACCAACCTCAGAAGGATGGAAGGCTGAGTCAACTTTAAGCCGCTCAGGATCGAACTCCTGGCAGTGAGCAGAGTTAGCCCGCAATACTGCATTCTAATCACTGCACCACCACGGTTTTTAATCTGATCTGCTTCCAGTCATGAAAACGTCTTGGGTGAATTTTGGCCACTTGTTGTTTCTCAGCTCAGCTTATCTCACAGGGCTGTTAAAATTGGGATAAAATTGTAAAGCTGATGGCTTGAGCCCCTGGAGAAAAGGTAGGATGAGGAGAAGGAGGACGATAATTTCCATTTTGGTCCTGCTTCTTTCTTTCCTAAGCATCCATCTGCAAGGAAGGGGCAATTCTAACCTAATTTATTTTTTTTTAACTAAATATCTACACCGCCTCAATCCAGTTGGATCCTCAGTCTGAAATGATCTCCCGCAGAAGGACCACACAAAATCAGCCTGAGGATCCAGAGGTCGTTGCTTGAGCAACAGAGTGGATACACTCCAGCATTCTGGGGTCTCTTAATAATGCTGGAGTGTCCGAAAAATAACAACAAAGTCCTCCTTCTGAATTTACCCTTTCTCCAATTTCTGTCTGATCTCCAAAGGGCAACAGATCAATGTCAGGTTGTAGGGAACAGGCATCAGTGACTGCTTTGTATCTGTAAAAGAAATATATATATATAAAAAAGCATGAGATCCAGAGAAGACTGGAAGGTTTTAAAGGCTAGCAAATCAAATCTGGAACAAAGATGGACTAGAGATGGAAGTCAGATGGAAGACAGTTTCTACAGAGGCTGGTCGATTTATAATAACAGTTAAAACAGATGACAGGCAGTCCTCAACTTACAACAGTTTGTTTAGTGATCGTTCAAAGTTACAACGCCGCTGAAAAAAGTTGCCAAGGTTGAGAAACATTGTTTTTTAAATGGGCCGTGAGCTGCATTGGTTCCCAATCTGCTTCCGGGTGCTGGTTTTCACCCCTAAAGCCCAACATGGCACAGTGTGGCACCAGGTTATTTGAGAGACTGCCCCTTCCCAACCATCTCCCTATCCCATTAGGTCAAGCAGGAGGGATCTGCCCTCAGCCATGAGAAATAATAATAATAATACAGTTGGAAGGGACCTTGGAGGTCATCTAGTCCAACCCCCTGCTCAGGCAGGAAACCCTATACTATTTCAGACAATGGCTGTCCAGTCTCTTCTTAAAAACGTCCAGTGTTGGAGCATTCACAGCTTCTGGAGGCAGGTTGTTCCACTGGTTAATTGTTCTAACTGTCAGGAAATTTCTCCTTAGTTCTAGGTTGCTTCTCTCCTTAATTAGTTTCCATCCATTGCTTCTTGTCCTGCCTTCGGGTACTTTGGAGAATAGCTTGACTCCCTCTTCTTTGGGGCAGCCCCTGAGATACTGGAACACTGCTATCATGTACCCACTCGTCTTTCTCTTCATACCCAATTCCAGCAACCGTTCCTTATATCAAAGTAAAATTAAAAATAACTAAACTTTGCTGTTTTTTTGGAAATGGAGCCATTGGATCTTTAAATGACCAAGTGACACAGGCAGTCCTCAACGTACGACTAAGCGAGACAGTTGTTAAGTGAGTTTTTCTCCATTTTATGACCTTTCTTGCTACCGTTGCTAAGTGAATCACTGCAGTTGTTAAGTTAGCAACACGTTTGTTAAGTGAATCTGGCTTCCCCATTGACTTTGCCTGTCAGAAGTTTGCAAAAGGGGATCACATGATCTCCTGGGAGGCTGGAACTGTCATCAATAGGAGTCAGTTGCCAAGCGTCTGAATTTTGATCACGTGACCCTGGGGATGCTGCAGTGGTCTTAGGTGTGAAAAACAGCCACAAATCACTTTTTTCAGTGCCATTGTCAGTTTGAACAGTCACTAAACGAACTGTTGTAAGTCAAGGATTACCTGTACTCTCGTGCAATCTTAGTGTTCAAATTAAACAAACAAAAAAAAGACTCAAGTTTCAGTTTTTTTAAAGATTGTTCTATTGTTTTTAATTGCTGCAATGCTTGTATGCTGCCCAGAGGCATATTTTGTGAGGTGGGCAGCTGTATAAATTCGTGAAATAAATAAGTCAGACAAGAATCTGCTTTCATTGGTACATCATGCTAAGTTTGGCTTGTTTGAAATTGGTCTTTTTTTTTAAAAAAAAAATCTTAATGAAGCCTGTATGTTTAGTTTATGATTTTGTGTATTGTCTGAACCTACAACATGAATTAATTAAGCAATCAGAGCTTGTTGTGTGAACCACCAGGGCTTTTTTTGTCATAAAACGCCCAGAACGGAGTTCCGGCACCTTTTTTTTTTTTTTCTTACAAAAAAAGCACTGTGAACCACTATAGAAATTCAGGATATGAGGATAATGTTCTGGGTGACTTGTGGAAAAGGACTTGTGATTCCCAAATATTAAACAACAGTAATATTCCTTCTGTTTCCCCTTCAATTTAAATATAAACATGGAATAAAAGAAAACGCGGGTGGGTGGGAAAGTAGCAAAATGATTTTGGTGCAAAAGGCGAGTCTGGGAATTGAAAACCATTTCCTGTGGAGTCCTCTAATTATTCTTTATTTTTAAATCTATGACTTCCCCTCTTTCTCCGGCCAATTTTCTCCCTTGGAACTGATATCATAAACTTTAAATTCAGTCTCAGCTCCCATATTATGATTGATAACCCACATCTGGAGCCGTGCCTCTGATTAGGATCAATTCCACTAAGTTTTAAGTCAATAGCACTGGGCTGCCTTTATTAACCTACTCCTTCTGTTTTCCTCTTGGGAGCTGTATAGATGTTTTCCCATCCTCCATTTCATCATATCCTTTTTTGGGAAACACTTTCCAGGATCAAAGAATGTGGCCAGGGGAGAGAAGAGAAGCCGACGGCTCACAAGAGCATTTGACAAGGCTTGCAAACAGGGAAATGTTATTTTAGCAAATGGATTGCCTCCCCATTTCACATTTTACGAGGCAAGTGGGGGGGAATGCAGCTTAGAGGAAATTTACAGGGAAGGATGGCAGTTTTAAAAGAGTGTCTTCTCGCTGACTGGCTTGTAAGGTTATTTGTCAGCTTCTGGATGCACTGCAGCCGGTCTTGTAAAGTTGAAAAGAAAGGAAAATGAAGGTGAATGCTCCAGCACTGGAAGTTTTAAGAAGAGACTGGACAACCATTTGTCTGAAATGGTATAGGGTTTCCTGCCTGAGCAGGGGGTTGGACTAGATGACCTCCATGGTCCCTGCAGATTTCAGGGCTTCAAGATGGAAATGGTTGTTGCTACAAGGAATCCAGAACAGAGATCCCCAACCTTTTGGGCACCAGGGACCGGTTACGTGGAGAGAGGTTTTTCCGTGGACCGGAGGGGGCGTGGTTTTGTGTGCTGCCTGCATCCCACGGATGGGGCTTTGCTTGTTTGTGCATCTTTGGCCTACAAGCCATGTTGACTACATGACCATGGAAATTGTCTTCGGACAACGCTGGCTCCCTCAGCCAAGAAACAGAGATGAGAGTTGGACATGATTGACAGGGAAATCTTTACCTTTACAAATAATCCTTGCTTAATGACCCTAATTGGACTGGAATTTCTATTCCTTAGCAAGGCAGTTGTTAGGCGAAACAACATTGTGACTGCACCACTTGGCAATTCCACTTGTTTTGGTTTTGCAGGATCCAACCAGAGTCAGCCATCGGGACCAAAGGTTTATTCCTCCAAGCTTTTGGGCTCCTGTGTGCACTGGGCTGTTCTACACATTATGGTTATATAGCGCCTGATTGCGTGTAGGTTTTAGTTGTTAATTAGAGTGTTGATGGCTGGCTATTAAATGATTAACTGTTGTTTCTTTGTGCTGCTGTGTCCTTGGCTGCTAAATATCTGATAGGCCGGTGGTAAATCAGCACTCCTATTGACTGACAAGGGGGCCATTTCCCATTTCATTCACTTCACTGGATATTTATGTCCCTGCCCGGCCAACAATCATAATAGCTAGTTTTGATTTTCAGGTGAGGACCTCTAGCTCAGGGGTCTTCAAACTTGGCCCGTCTATGATTCGTGGACTTCAACTCTCAGAATTCCTCAGCCAGGCATGCTGGCTGAGAAATTCTGGGAGTTGAAGTCCATAAGTCATAAAAGGGCCAAATTTGAAGACCCCTGCTCTAGCTTCTCCTGTCCCGCCATGCTGACCTCTGCTTCAACTTCTTTGCCAATCCTTCTCTCCCCTCAATCTCTGCTCTTTTCATTGTCCTGCACTATGTTACCACCATCAAACACCCTCCATCCCTCGCTGGCCCTCCCATCCTCTTCCTCCCGCTACTGACAAGGTGCACCTAGCCCCTGAGTGTACCTCATAAGCAGCAGGAGAAAGAATTCAGCCAAGGTTAGCGAAGAGTGGCAGCTGGTAGCAGGTATTAGTGGCAGCGACAACGTGCACGGTGGTTAAAAGGGCAGAGTTGGAAGGGAGATAAGTGGGTGGGGGCATTTGAAGTTCATTTATTTATTTTTATTTATCCAATTTATTGGCTGCCTATCTTACCACAGGGGAACTCTGAGTGGCTTGCCATATTTAAAAGTGCATGTTGGGACGTAAATACAGGTGGGCTGCCCCACACCTGAATTTTGATCAGCTGACCACAGGAGGGCTGCTAAGGCTGTAAATCCAAGGAGGTCTATAACTATCCCTTGTTCAGTGCTGTCATAACTAAATGAATGGTCGTTAAGCAAGGACTACCTCTACCTTTTTTTTTAATGGGATATTATTCCAATTTTCCAGCCTGGTCCAGCAGCCCTGGAATCCACACGAAGTCCGGCCATCCAAATTTCAACTCACCTAGGCCAGCCTTGCTTCGTTTTCAAGATCAGCCCTCTTTAGCTAGGTCAGTGGTTCTCAACCTTTTTAATGCCGCGACCCCCAACCAGTCGTAAGTCGAGGATTAAACCGGTCGTAAGTCGAGGACTAAGCCGGTCGTAAGTCGAGGACTAAACTGGTTGTAAGTCGAGGACTGCCCAACCGGTCGTAAGTCGAGGACTTTCCCTGCCCGGGAGCGCCACGCATGCATGGTTCCGCCCCCTGCACCGGCCGAGGTATAGCTGGCAAGCGGCAGAGACGGAGCAGGCCGACCACCAGCTGGCCCAGCTCAAGGGAGGTAAGGCACCCGCCGGAAAAGGGGGAAAAAATGGTGGACAGCCTTGCTTGGCGACCCCCGTGAAATGGTCGATCAACCCCAAATGGGGTCGCGACCCATAGGTTGAGAACCGCTGAGCTAGGTGATGTCAGATGCCAAACACCAATTTGTCATTGCGCTGTAATTATCTCCCAGCTGAATCTAGAAAAAGTGCAGGAATTCTGGCACCTTTGTTGTTTGGAAAGAGAAAGATGTGAATTTTTTACCTCTGTTTATTAAAAGGACTCCCAAAGGTAATGTTTTCTTCAACCGTTGCATTCAAGAGCCAAGGCTTCTGAGCTGCGTAAGCCACCGAAAACCGATTCCTGGTGGAAAGGGGGAATTTAGAGGCATTAGAGGCAGTGGATAAGGAACAGCTTCCTACAGATTTTAACAAGGGTGCATTCAAACGAGGGAGGCACAAAAAACACATAAAGGAAAGTAGCTGTTAAACAGATTTAAGGGGAAAGAAGAGTTAGGTTAGCGAAGCACCCAGTCTCTACTTTAGCTTGACTTTTTTTTCGTGACAAAACTCCTTGCTTAAAAGGTGTGGTCCACATCCGGTGAATTCACATTTATCTCTAAGTCAGGAGACTTGGCATGCAAAGAGGAGACAGGATCATCCCAAAGGTGCTTCACCCCCCCCCCCAAACTTTCTTGTTTGTTTGTTTTTGCTTTGCATCCAAGAAGCTTCTTCAGTTCTGATACAAATCTCGTACAAAACATATGCAACGAAAATGGGAAACAATGATGAAGACCTTAGAAAAATATATTTGCGGATATTCCGTTCACGTTTAATGAACATTTATGTTTTTTTAAAACTCCGATAAATTACTCTGCGACTTTCTTTTATTGGCATGTGTTCGAAGAGATATGGGTGCTGTGAAATATGCAACATTGGTTAGAAGAAATTTTAGGTAGCCTCGGAAGAGTCGATATGTAAGGGTTTTTTGAAGGCATAGACATTGTTAATTTCCTTTAAATCACCAGGATATTTGATCACACAGTGGTTCCCAGGAGCTACCTGATTTGACAGATGAACTGAAATGAAATCTTGTGTTCCTTGAGTCCATATGTCCATCAGTTTGGAAAAACCATGAATATTCGGCTTGACTCTGTATCTATTAGGGAAGCTAAATGGTGGCATTTCAATTTAGATCACTGAGACATCCAGATTGGGATTGAATGTCAAAATGTTGGGCTTTGTACTGTTGAAGGAAAAGTCTTCATCATGGTTCAGTCCAAGCTGGGAATAAACAACATGGCGACTGCTTTAGAAAGAAGGTTGCAGTTTATTGAAGAGGAGAGCCAGACAGAAAAATGGCTCTGGAAGAAAAAAGAGAGCGAGCACATGTAGGGAGTGGGTTTTTATACCCTCTGGAGCCTTTTGTTTGGAGTTGTTCCTGTGGCATGAACTTTGACCTGAGTCTGAGTGTGCCCTTTGGTATCAGTGGGGGAAGTCAGATTTGCTTTATGACCTCCTGATTCACTTAACTACTTCAGTGGTTTGCTTAACAACCGTGGCAAAAAAAAAAAACAACCGTGGCAAAAAAAGGCGCAACTCACTTAACAATTGCCTTGCTTAACAACAGAAATTCTATTCTCAATTGTGGTCCTATGTCGAGGACTGCCTGCATTTGCTTAGCTTCGGGTACTTTGATAGATTCCCTATCTCCAGTGTTCTGATTTTTATTTTTATTTTTACGCTGTGTGAATGCTTCCTGTGAATGCTTGGTAACAAACATCCTTTCACCCCAAAGAAAAAGGAAGACATTTCAGAAAATGGATGCTAATGAGACTATGAAGCTTCTTCTGTGTCTTCTGAACCTTACGGAGAAGTAGTCCTCAACTTACAGCAGTTCATTTAGTGACTGTTCAAAGCTACAACATCCCTGAAAAATGTGACTTATTACCGTTTTTCACACTTGCGACCGTTGCAGCATCCCTGTGGGTCACATGATCAAAATTCAGACCATTGGCAACTGACTCGTATTTATGACGGTTGTGATGTCCCGGGGGGGGTCACGTGATCCCCTTTTGCGACCTTCTGAGAAGCAAAGTCAATAGGGGAAGCCAGATTCACTTAACAACTGTGTTACTCACTTAACAACTGCAGCGATTCACTTAACAACCGTGGCAAGATAGGTCATAAAATGGGGCAAAACAAATGTCTCGCTTAGCAACAAAAATTTTGGGTTCAATTGTGCTCGTAAGTCAAACTAGAAATTCAATTATGAGGACTTCATATGGCTCAAGTCATTTGCATGAAAGACTGGGAACCACTGCGTGTTGTAGACGTTTGGGATTAATATATTTTAGGAAGTTATTGTATCTGAGGGAAGGAAATCAGGTATTGATTGAGAGGTTAAAAAAAAAAGTTACAGTTTCAGGGGGCAGATTGAAGAGTAATACCTCCAGCTTGCTTCAACAGAAGGCTCAAATTCATGTATGCTGCAAGTTACAATAAACAATATTTTAGTAACTGTTGAGAAAGAAATAACACTATTGAGCTGATAAAGTTTCAAGTATGGAAGAAAGGGTGTCCAACAATTAAGCAAAATCCTAATTGTGAAGCGTAATAAGAAGACCAAGCATATTGGTGCAGATGGCTGAATATCATGCTATTAGACCTTGCAAATTCTCCATTCTGTGGCCATCACCAGCCTTAATTCAGAGAGCAACCAATAACAATAACAATAACAATAGCAATAACAACAACAACAACAACAACAACAACAACAACAATAATAATAATAATAATAATAATAATAATAATAATAATAATAATAATAATAATAATAATAATATTAAAAAGTTGGAAGGGATCTTGGAGGTCATCTAGTCCAACCCCCTGCTCAGGCAGGAAATCCTATACCAGGGGTAGGCAATCTTGGCTCTTTTATGACTCGTGGACTTCAACTCCCTGAATTCCTGAGCCAGACACTCTGAGGGGAAAGGGAGAGGTTTCCAAGCTGAGCCATGCTGGCTGAGGAGTTCTGGGAGTTGAAGTCCATGAGTCATAAAAGAGCCAAGGTTGCCTACCCCTGTCCTATACCATTTCAGACAAATGGCTGTCCAGTCTCTTCTTAAAAACTTCCAGTGTTGGAGCATTCACCGCTTCTGGAGGCAGGTTGTTCCACTGGTTAATTATTCTAACTGTCAGGAAGTTTCTCCTTAGTTCTAGGTTGCTTCTCTCCTTCCATCCGTTGCTTCTTGTCCTGCCTTCAGGGGCTTTGGAGAATAGCTTGACTCCCCTCTTCTTTTTGGCAACCCCTGAGATATTGGAACACTGCTATCATGTCCCCCCTCGTTCTTCTCTTCATTAAACACTAGACATACCCAATTCCAGCAACCATTCCTTATATGCAAAAATCCTTATTTTCCCTTAATTTTCCCCAAAAAATATCAAATAGATTTGGTTCATCGGTAGTTGGCTTCATACTACTATAAAAATATTTCTTGCTCAAAAGTTTTTTTTAAAAAGCCAACATTTCTACACCTGTCCTCTGCTCTTCCTGAACCCCTTCTGAGTATCTAAAAGGTTTCCATTCCTGCCCTCATTAATAATGAGAAATCAATACAATAACCATACATTGCCTCCTAGCATTCTTTGGATGCTCAAGAATGGTGTCAGAGAGCCTTTATGAAGTGAATTTATTCTGAGATATGATGATATGGAGCTCACCATTGTAACTGTTATTTCATTTCAAAATCAACATTATGGATAGTGGCATTTCAACTGGAAATTTAGTGCTGTGCCAAGTCCATTGGAAATGCTTATTTTAATGCTCTACTTAGTATTAATATTTAAACCATCCCTTGGAAAATAAACATTATGCAGAAAAAAAGAGATTCCTAATGTCACAGGATTCCTCTTTTTTACGAGGGTCGGTATTCCTTAAAGCAGAGGTCCCCAACCTTTTGGACACCAGGGACCAGTTCTGTGGAGAAAGGATTTTCCATGGACCAGAGAGTATGTGGTTTTATGTGCTGCCTGCATCTTGCAAATGGGGCTTTGTTTGTTTGTGCAGACCAGTTGCTGGCATGCCGCGGCCCGGTATTGGTCCACGGACCGCGGCTTGGGGACCCCTGGATTAAAAAATCTATAAAGAGGATAAACATGCAGATAAATGTAGTGTTTTAGGTATGGTTGAAATGTACATCATTAATGCATCACTGCAGCTCACATCTAGTCTATGGAAACGCACAAAAGAAGGGAAAAGCATCTTTCAGACTCTGTGCTACATAGAGACAGACATTCTTCTTGAAAACCAAGCATGTGAGGTAAAATTTTAGAATGCAGAAAGAAGCTGAAGCAAGCAAAGAAATAAAAAAATGAAGTTGTAATATGTACATAATCCTAGTCAACAGAGTGCTGCTAATCTTAAGAGTCAAGTTTTTAGGATCCAGGGATTACCAATAGAAAAAAAATAGCGAGAGAGCAAACCCCACCATCTTCTGATGATGTTACCTAGTTGGGTAATGAAATGTCTGCAAGAAAACCACCAACCACCAAAGACCCCCACAGTCCAGGAGCTGTATGATTAAACTCTACATGCTGAAATTCAGATGAGGAGAATAGATTTTTATCAAGATTGAGGACATCCTTCTGCATATACTACATTTTAGATAGATCTTTTGTAGATCTGACAAGTCTCAGCCAATGTAGGAACAATGAAATAGACACAGAATTCCTTGCCCCATTTAAATGTATGGAGATATTCCTCACTAAGAACTTTGATAAGAGATGCAGGAGAACCACAAATGCTTGGAGATTCTGATATCAACAATCCCAGCCTTGATATTACAAGGATAGTATAGAAACCTCAGCAAAGCATACTTGTAAATTTCTGCAACCCAGACTATTTTTGTAGGCAAATGACTCTGTCCCTAGATTTTGGAGAACCTACAGTCAACCTACTATTGAAAACCTGAAGTATATATCATAGTCAGCCTTCTGGAAATGCTTACTGCTTATAACATACTTCTAACATGGAACTATCTATACTAAACTACAGAGTGATTAGAAGTTGAATATACAGTATAAGCAGGGGTAGGCAACCTTGGTTCTTTTATGACTCGTGGACTTCAACTCCCAGAATTCCTGAGCCAGCCATGCTGAGGGGAAAGGGAGAGGTTTCCAAGCTGAGCCATGGCTGGCTCAGGAATTCTGGGAGTTGAAGTTCACAAGTCATAAAAGAGCCAAGGTTGCCTACCCCAGGTATACTGTATAAGAAGCATAGGTTTGAAAATCTGATTCTGGATTATTGGCAAATCAGCATTCAACTCTTTAAAGTAGTTGAGACTATTTCTCTCTACAACTCTCTGGGAGTTGTAATCCACATATCTTAACATTGCTAAGGTTGAGAAACATTGTTTTTAGATGATGACTGGACAAACTTAAGCATGCAGAATTACGTCGCAAGAGAATGATGGGAGAAATTAGAATCTTAATGATTATGTCAGGGAACTGAAAACACCAGAGTTGAATTCAGTACTACCTGTGAACTCCTGAAAACACCTTTCTGTCAGACAGCCTGAAATTGTCAGCGAAAACGTAACCAACTTTGTTTGCACCAGTTAAAATTACTATTCAGGGATAGATCAAGCTTCTGGTTTACAATCACCGGGCCATTGCATTCATCTCCTGATTTTGCAGGACTCCACAAACTTTCAGTTTTCATTCGTAAACAAAAACAAACAGACAACACATTTCTAGCCCTTGTGATCCCCAGAGATACCTACTATGATCTATCCAAAAGTTAAATTGTACTATCCTGCATTTCTTTTTAATGGAAAAATAGTCCTAAGGAAACATTGGAAAGCTACCAGCATAAGATCATGTCGTCTGAATCCCCTAATAATTTAGACATCATAAAAGCTCCTTTCGTGACAGACTATGCATTGATCTTTCTTCCAGTGCTAAATTTCACAATTAAAACAGGTCATATCAATCAAGTTCCCTGACTGATTTATTGATCGCAAATATTATCCTTTGTGTCATTTATTGCTTGAGCCGCTCGTGATTTGCGAGATTAAAAATAGCTCCTCTATCCGGATTCAATCCTCTCTCTCCAGACAACCCCGGTTTGAGTTAACCAATTTGAAAACATACCGGTTCCAATGAACTTTCCCTTCCAGGGTTTGCATCTCACCGAGGATAGCAAGAAGGAGAGAAGATTTGCCACAGCCAACTTGTCCTACGATCATAGTCATCTGGCCTACAAATTAATAAACCAAAATTAGACCTTTTAACGCATTCCTTCCTTAGAGTATTCAGTTAATGATTATTGCAACTGCTTGCCTATTGGCATAAACAACCCCATATTTCAAGAATAGGTGCCATTCACGTTCTAAGCTTCTGTTTTGATCATTGTTTATTCGGGTTGTCAGCCATTTTGCAGTAAATTGTTTGGGGAAAAGGAATGGCTATAAATCTCCCAATGGAAGAATTGTTTGGTTAGAAACACACTCAGGAGATTATAGACATCCCATTTATTTCAATGTAAGAGATTTTAAACGAACCAAAAAAATTCCTATGGCTGTCTATTTTGAAGTCTTGTTCCAAGAAAATGAACATTTGACCGTATTTTTTAAAACTGAGAGAGAGGGGGGGGGGGTTAAAGGTAGAGATAGAGGTAGAGGTAGAAGTAGAGATAGATAGATAGAGAGAGAGATAGGTAGGTAGGTAGGTAGGTAGATAGGTAGAGGGAGAGGGAGAGGTAAAGATAGAGATAGAGATAGATAGATAGATAGATAGATAGATAGATAGATAGATAGATAGATAGATAGATAGATAGATAGATAGATAGATAGATAGATAGATAGATAGATAGATAGATAGATAGATAGATGTAGAGGTAGGTAGGTAGGTAGAGGTAGAGGTAGAGGTAGAGGTAGAGGTAGAGATAGAGATAGAGATAGAGATAGAGATAGAGATAGAGATAGAGATAGAGACAGAGATAGAGATATACCTAACGGTTGCAGGATTTGGGTATGGCCAGTCTAAAGAAAAGAAGGACTAGGGGGGGACATATTAGCAGTATAATAGTATTTGAGAGGCTGCCACAAAGAAGAGGGGGTCAATTTATTTTCCAAAGTACCAGAGGGCAGGACAAGAAAAAATGGATGGAAACTACTCAAGGAGAGAAGCAACCTGGAATTAAGGAGAAACTTCTAACAGTGAGAACAATTAATCAGTGAAACAATTTGCTGTCAGAAGTTGTAGGTGCTTCAACACTGGAGGTTTTTAAGAAGAGACTGGACAGCTATTTGTCTGAAATGGTATAGGGTTGGGGGTCGGATTAGAGGGTTGGATTAGAAGACCTCCAAGGTCCCTTCCACCTCTGTTCTGATTGATTGATATACACCGTCTATATGGGTGAATCTGGATGGTTTGTAGATTATTCTATAGTTAATCTATGCACGATCCTTTTAAATGTTCCTAACTATCTAGAGATAATTGAAGATGTGCTGAAGAAAATGATATTGAACGTGCAAAATTAATTTACCTGTTGGGATTCGGATATCAATACCGGATAATGTGGCGAGCCCACTTCCCCAGGAAAAGTATCCGTTGGTTACCTGCAATGCATAATATTGTATATTAGAACTGCCAACAGGTGCATGTAATAATTATGCTGAAGCTAATAAGCAAGCACATCTGTGTCTCTTACAAACCAGGTTAGGATACAAAGCTTTTTCAAAAAAAGAGATGACAGAAATGACACGAGAATAAAAGATACCAAGGGACTTAAAAATGGGTGTGCTACATAATAAACATGGTTTCCAAAATGTTCCATTATTTAGAATACTGTTTTAAGTACAAAACAATCCTTTTCAGTGAAGATGAATACAGCAAGTAATAAATGATCCATAATCTCAAATCCCACCTCCCTTCCCCTAATCATCCTATTTGCAGATTGACTTTGCCTTTTAGCTATTGCATTTGGCACTTCCATGCTTTTGTAGTATTTTATTTACAGTATCTAGTTTTGGTTTTGTTTTTAGATATCGTAAACTGCCAGGGTTACCTGGCAGTAAGACGAACAGCCAATAAACTGGATGGATGGATGGATGGATGGATGGATGGATGGATGGATGGATGGATGGATGGATGGATGGATGGATAGAGATAGATAGATAGATAGATAGATAGATAGATAGATAGATAGATAAATAGATAGATAGATAAAATCTTCCATACCAGAGATTTGTCTTAAATGAAAACAAAGATATTATAAACACCCTCAAGTTGAGGAACTGGCATTTAAAGAAAATGACACCTCCTTCCAGATCAGAATGGAGTGTCAACGCTGCTAACATCGGATGTTTTTGCTTTAACAACAGTTAAAATTGCAACCATTTTCTTCTTATGTTTTACTTTTAGAGTTAGATGATGCTGGGGGGGGGGAGGAATGTGCATGAGAGTTTAGATAGACATAATAATACTGGATTAGCGTGTGAACCAAGGTTAATGAAATAAGAGATGATAAGAATTGGTGGGCTGGAGAACTGGAGGGAAGGCCTGCATTTCAAACTAATTGGGGAATGTGATTTATGACTGTTAATTGGAGGAGGGAATTGTGCTTTGATACTATGTGCTCAGGGGAGGGGAATCCAGTTTTTGGCTTCGACCGTGTTAGTGCTGATGCCATGCTTCTCAAATAAAGATTCTTTAAGGTAAACAATGCCTCGAAGTTCTTTGAAGAGTTTCATCTGTCGGAACCATGACATGGAGATTAACTACAGATGATCCATCCCATCTGGATTATCAGCAATTCACCTAGTGTTTGACGAGATAATAAGGGATTGATTGCTCTACTTTAAAATATAAAGGACCTTGATAGCACATTCATCGAAGTTTAGATGTTGAGCTGATATCCTTTGCGGTTGATCATAGGCATCCAGCTGGTGTCTCAAGGGCTGTTTCCGATTGATGGCTTTGGGATGCTTCAGACATGGAGAAAAAAAGAGAAAAAAGGAGATGGGGTTTTATCTGCACCAGATTACTGAAGAAGGTAACCCCAAAATTCACTTTAATATATTTTTTTTTCCTTAGGAGTAGTCACATATCTTCTTCCCTACCCTACCAATCAGGGATGTTTAGGTTATCTTGATTATTTAACTAAAGGGATGATGTAGCACCATAACTGAAGCTGGCTTTTCTAGATTCTATACAGAACAGGATTTTAGAGATGTAGCTAGGCATAGAAAAGACTTTACAGATAACCCTCGACTTACGACCACATGTTTGACAACCGTTTAAAGTTACAAAAGCAGTTGGAAAGGGTATTTTATGACCTGCAAAGCACTTCCAGACATCATAAAATGCCATGCCCTCTCCTCCCAGCAGGTACATGGTCACAATCTGGGTGCTTGGCAACCGGTTCGAATTCATGACCAAGTGCTCCGTGATCATGTCATTGCTGTTTGCAATCTCTTCTACAGGCTTCCCCAGAAAGACAATGGGAAAGACAGCAGAGAAGGTTGCGAGCTAATACTACCCACTGCGAGGACTCCCTCTCATCTCTAGGCTGAAAGAGTTGCTTGCTGAGGGGAACCTGACATCCTTCTGTGGGTGCAAAAACGGAACTCCGATCCTGATTATTTGCGCTCCGTTCCTGCACCCTGCCAAAGGCATTTCCTTCCACACATGGAGGAGAGGGGATATCTTTTGACAGCCATCTCTAGAGACAAGAGGGAGCCAAATCCAAGCAGAGAGGCAGCACAATAAGCTAAGTAGCACAGGGTGCCAGGCAGATGGGGAGGCCTTGAGAGGCTCAGTGCTAGATTTCGGTAGGGTTTTCAGCTCAGGTAAAGCCGCCCAGGATACTGCCCCCCACCGGCACCCTATGTTCATTACCTGTGACTCTACCTGCTTGATGACTTGTGTGATCAATTAATGACTATACCAGGGGTAGGCAACCTCGGCTCTTTTATGACTCGTGGACTTCAACTCCCAGAATTCCTGAGTCAGTTGACTCAGGAATTCTGGGAGTTGAAGTCCACGAGTCATAAAAGAGCCGAGGTTGCCTACCCCTGGACTATACAGTAGTGGCCAAAATTGTGGAAACCTTTTGGGAAAAGTGTACCGTAGAAATGCCACCTTTGGTTAAGCTTCCACCCATTTTTCTTCCAATTTCTTTATAACTGTAGCCTTTTTCACTTAATAATACTATTTTACATCGCTTTCTGGGTGACCAGTCAACCCTTTGCACCATGACTTTAATTTTGTTACGTTTTACAAGCTCATTAAAGGAAAGAACAGAAAAAAATACCAACCAACTTGACAGCGATCACATAACACACTGACCAATGTCCTCCTCTCAGCTTCAATACAGGACATCGATAACTGAATCCTACTGTGATCTGATTGGCTCATGGCCAAAACAAGATGACACCTGATTGGCTGTCTAAACCCTCACGCTCATTGGCTACAATCAGATGAAGGAAAGCTACCTGATATCAACCTAAGCAAGTTGTGCTTCCTTTTTCTGGTTATTTGGCTATAATTTTTCATAGAATACAGTACAGATAATTGAACAAACTATGTTGCATTGCATTCTTGATTAAATTATTTTTCCATTGATATATAATTTTATGGTACTACTCCCCCCCCAAAAGTGGTGTTATTAGCCATCAAACCTTAAAAATACACTTTTCCCAAAAGGTTTCCACAGTTTTGGCCACTACTGTAACCAGGATTGCAGTTGTTGAGCGAAGCAGTCATGTGACATCTCACTTAACATTTGCTTCACTCAGCAGCTAAGATTCCAGGCTCATTATGGTGGTAAGCCAAGGACTATCTTTAGATAGTTTTCTTCAGCTATCTTCTTTTCTGGAATGGATCAGATCTTGTTTTATGTTCCCTATACTCTTTTTAAATCAAGATACAGTACTTGGTGGTCTATTTTCATCACTGCTGGTCCCAAAGTCCAGATGAAAAAAAAAGAGGAAGACTGGTTATTAAGCTAGCCATCCACCTTATAAAATATGTTCACCTCTACTGAAATAATAGATACAATTCAATGAGATCTGATAGAAATCACTGTGTTTCTCAATCTTGGCAGCATTGAGATATTTGGACTTCATACATACATCTTGAATTTGCCAAGGCTGAGAAAAGCTGCCATAGAGCAATCATGGACAGTGTCATTCGTTTATATTGCATTGTAGCTTTTAATCTTGTTGTTTGACATTTCCAGAATCATTAAAATCACGCAGTGCCTAAACCTAAATCTAAATCAATCAATTAATCTGGGGACAGCCTAGTCTTCTATATTTATGTTACTTTGCAATGAATTATCAAAATTAATCATCAGTACTTAGTTATTAAGTACCGTGGTGGTGCAATGGTTAGAATGCAATATTACAGGCTAACTCTGCCCACTGCCAGGAGTTTGATCCTGACCGACTCAAGGTTGACTCAGCCTTCCATCCTTCCGAGGTTGGTAAAATGAGGACCCAGATTGTTGGGGGCAATAGGCTGACTCTGTAAACCACTTAGAGAGGGCTGTAAAGCATTGTGAAGTGGTATATAAGTCTAAGTGTTATTGCTATTGTTGTAGCTGATCCGATGTTGCATTAGGAGCCCTGGTGGCGCAGTGGTTAGAATGAAGTATTACATGCTAACTCTGCCCACTGCCAGGAGTTCGATCCTGACCGACTCAAGGCTGACTCAGCCTTCCATCCTTCTGAGGTCGGTAAAATGAGGACCCAGATTGTTGGGGGCAAATAGGCTGACTCTGTAAACCGCTTAGAGGGGGCTGTAAAGCACTGTGAAGAGGTATATAAGTCTATTGCTATTAAAAAGTAGCAATATGGGGTTTTTTTACTGTTAGAACCTTATCCATTTAAGTGAGACCGTTCCATAATCTCCAAAGAGTTCTTATAGAAAATAGTATGGGGAACTGGCCATCAGTAGGCTTAAATCTGTAATATTTTTTTGAAGCTTAAAAAAAAAAAAAGAACAAGAGAATGAATGCCTTACTAGTCCCGTGTGCTTCTTACACGATTCATATGCCAATGGGTTCTCTCCATTTCTCCAGCTGTCCTCTCCAATCTCATCACTTAAGAGAAATTCATTTAATTTTTGCACGCTGAAAAACAGAAATAGGGAAAGCACTGGTGATAACAGACAAAATTGTTAAGATACTTTTGTGGCATTGCGGGGGCTCCATCACTGGAGGTTTTTAAGAAGAAATTGGACAACCATTTGTCTGAAATGGTATAGGGTAGTGGTGGAGAACCTATGGCACGCGTGCCAGAGGCGGCACTCAGAGCCCTCTCTGTGGGCACGTGCACCGCCACCACTAGCAGCTCACGCAGGTCCATTAGGCTGCTGCCGCCGCTTGGAGCAACAGCCCCACCCAGCACAAAGCAGGCAAAATGGCCGGCTAGCAAGCTCAAGTAGAGATGTTAGAGCATGGAGGTGGCCATGCCTACCTGGCCACACCCACCCAGTCTGCTGTGACCACCCTGGCCATGCCCACCCAGTGGGCCACACACCCTGTCCTCCCTGAGGGAACCACAATGCTGATACGGCCCTGGCACTTTGCAATAAATAAGTGGGTTTTGGGTTGCGGTTTGGACACTCAGTCTCTAAAAGGTTCGCCATCACTGGTATAGGGCATCGGTCTTCAAACTTGGCCCTTTTATGACTTGTGGACTTCAACTCCCAGAATTCCTCAGCCAGCGTGCCTGGCTGAGGAATTCTGAGAGTTGAAGTCCACAAGTCATAAAAGGGCCAAGTTTGAAGACCCCTGGTATGGGGTCTGCTGCTCGAGCAGGGGGTTGGACTAGAAGACCTCCGAGGTCCCTTCCAACTCTATCATTCTTTTAGTCTGTATTGGTCATAACAAAAATACAGATCCTGCTCACCTTTCCACTCTTACTGAGAGAGGCTTTTTAAAATTACTTTTTCCCGACACAGATTTGTAAATATAATGTTTGCAGCCCGTGATATTATGCCAATATATCTGATGTATTGAGAATTACAACAAAGTGCCTAATTGTCAGCAATCCAAGATATATAAAAGTATGAAAACAATTTATAGAAAACCAAGCATAAAAAAAACGCCTCATAATAACAAACACACCACATCAGGAATGCAAAAAAAAGAAAAAGAAAAAGAAAAAAAGAATTTGCATTGCTCCTGTGGGTTCACAAATCGCCCTGACCTTGGGCTTGTTGGAAAAACAGGTATTTTATGTTGTCCTAAAGGGCAGCGACTTGAATCAAATTCTTTAGTAGTAAACTAGAGAAATAAGGCAACTTCACCAAATGGAATTGATAGAAGTAAAGGAAAGGTCCTCAAAATTTAATATTGAAAGAGAAATTTAAAATTGAATTTGCTGCAGTGGAAACTTACTGGCTGGACAAACAAGCTTAACCAAAAACTATAATGGCTGGGAAACAGGAAAGGATAGCATAAAGGCAGGATGTAAGATAAATACGTAGGCAAAAATTAGTTGGGTCTTAGAGTGGGAAAGGAAGAAGGCAAGCTATAAAAACATCTGTAAGAGGAAATGGCTAGCCAGGAAAACTTAACTAAACTGAAAATATTTTATATTATTAATGTACATGTGATGTATGATTTAGTATGTAGCAGGAAATAGGTAGGAGGCGGTCGGAAAGAGTGTAACCTCATAGTACCTCAGCCAATGGGGAAAGAGGAGGGATGTGGCAGCCGGGACAGGGCTGTATAAAGAAGGGAATATTTTGGGTTGAAACTTTGGAGAGAACCAAGCTTTGATAGCTTCTCTCCCCGCTTATTGCAATAAACGAAACAAAAGGCCTTCACTGTGTCTTGGGTGGTTATTGCTCAGGTGAGCTTGCCTCTGGTCACCAAGGAAAGTGGCCAGGAGCACATAACAGAACGGAACAGGTTGGTAGGAAGATTTGTGGAGAGTCTCAATCATTCAGTTCATGGTTTGTCCCAAAGTTTTTTTTACCAAAAGGCAACTGGACTTTCTTGATTTTTTTTTCCTTGAAAATGTTTCACTTCTCATCCAAGAAGCTTCTTTAGAACCGGTGAGAGGCAAAATGTTTTCAAGGGGAAAAAAAATCAAGAAAGTCCAGTTGCCTTTTGGAAAAGCAGCTTTGGGGACTTTTTGGTAAGAACATATACAGATTTAATTACTCTTGGTACTGCGCACTATCTGTAAACTAAGTTGATGGATGATAACCAGGCTGATATAGGAGGAAGTGAACTGCCAAGCATTCATTATCCTCCCGAGATTACTTTGGCTGCTATGTGCAAAACTGAGAAAATAAATTTTGAAAAAGTTGCATTTTTGTCCTGGCAACAACTGAACCTCTCAGTCTGAACTGCCCACAATGCAATGGACCTGTTGGTTTTGGAATTACAGGATGCTAAATATAGCGCGCACGCAGTAAGCAAGCTTCATCCTTTATACAACATTAAGATTTATTTTGTTTTGTTTTCTTTTGGACTGTTTGGAAGGAAGAAGAACAAAATACCGTGTTTACAATTAAAAAGAAATTTTTGCCTAGGTTTCTTGTGTTGCCATTTGCACATTCCCACCCAACTGATTTTGTGGGGCTGAAGAAAAAAAAAAAAGACTTGAGTCTTCCACCAGTTTGTCATATTTTTTCCCCAGCTTCTATATTTTTTTCCAGAATGTTCTCTGATGCAGAGACATTCAGAGACATTTCTGGTGAAGAACAAGTGCCAAAATTAAACAAAAGAATGGAGCTGCTTCTAAGTTCAAACAGAAACAAATAAATTAGCCAGTCTCTGACACCTTATACAAATCAATTAATATGACATGTCAAAACTTTCATGCTGTATTTTGTTAACTATTTGTCTACCAAACTCAGGAATTTGTTCATAATTGTTTAATGGTTTTGTCTCAAGTTATCAGCTGCCATGAGGGACCCATGCTTGAAAATACACAGAGTATTTTGGGGGGAAATGGTCCCAAGAAGAATTAGTCATCTAAAAAACCTCTGTTGCCTAAGCACACTTCCTGAGCAAGTCAGTTTTATTGGACAACCCACAAATTTGCTCAGACAAGTAGACTGAATAGCGTCATTTATTCTGGTGCAATTCCCAGTAAATACTGAAGATACTGAAGATATGGACCATGATATGTGAACAGAAGTTATGGAAAAATGTTGCATAAAAGGTGTTTACAAAAATATAGTTGGGAATCAAATTAATGATGCTTGTTTATTTATTTATTCTACTTGTCACAACATGTCTTTCCTTATACACAGGTAGTCTTTGACTTACAATCACAGCTGAGCCCAAAATTTCCAAAGCTAAGCAATCAGTTGTGAAGTGAGATTTGCCCCATTTTACGACTTTACTTGCTGCAGTCGTTCAAGTGAATCACTACAGTTGTTAAGTGAATCTCGCTTCCCCATCTCCACCTGTCAGAAGGTGGCCAAAGGGGATCACATGACCCCAGGGACACTGCAACTGACATAATTATGATCCAGTTGCCAAGCGTTCAAGTTTTGTTTAGCAACGGAAATTTTGGGCTCAACTGTGTTTGTAAGTTGAGGACGACTTGTCAAGCTCTGGTAATACTGCTTTCATACATGCAGTCACCATGATGAAAATGGTCATGGGAATTCCACTGTTTGAAGAAACGTCAAGAATGTCCCACAAGCTCCTCAATTCCACTTGTGTGGAAGAAGGCGTAATGGTGAAGTTGTCCCATTGGGCAAATCCCAATTTACTTTCTCCTAGTCTGCTAGTTAAATTGAAGCTGATATGTTTTAAAGCATTATATCCCCTACCTTATGATGGCCTTGACAGCAAATCTAACAACAGTGGACAGCAGGAACAAAGGGGTCACCAGGATGTGAAACAGCGCGAGAGAGGCAAAAGCCTGGGCTGTAGTCAGCTGTTTATCTTCAGCATACGTGTAGGTCACAAAAGTCTGGTATGTCAAGAAAAGAGGATATGAGTAGAGGCAAACATTGTTTTTCAAAGAAAGCATGGGATCCTAGCTCAATTTAAAGGCCCCTTGATGTTCTTCCTCACATTTTCTACCTCAGGGGTCTTCAAACTTGGCCCTTTTATGACTTGTGGACTTCAACTCCCAGAATTCCTCAGCCAGGCACGCTGGCTGAGGAATTCTGGGAGTTAAAGTCCACAAGTCATAAAAGAGCCAAAGTTCCCCACCCATGGCCTAGAACAGGGGTCTTCAAACTTGGGCCTTTTATGACTTGTGGACTTCAACTCCCAGAATTCCTCAGCCAGCGTGCCTGGCTGAGGAATTCTGGGAGTTGAAGTCCACAAGTCATAAAAGGACAAGGTTTGAAGACCCCTGTCCTATACCTTTTCAGATAGGTAGCTGTCTATTGTTAAAAACCTCCAGTGATGAAGCACCCACGACTTCTGGAGGCAAGCTGTTCCACCGGTTAATTGTCCTCACTGCTAGAAAGTCTCTCCTTAATTCTAGGTTGTTTCTCTCCTTGATTAGTTTCCACTAAATGAATCATTGCAAGTGGATCACCTGTACTTTATCTTAACAGATAAAAGATTATCTTCACTATGCTGAGCTGGGTTGGAGACACGATAATTTATAGCAGGGCTCTTCAAACTTGGCCCTTTTATGACTTGTGGACTTCAACTCCCAGAATTCCTCAGCCAGGCATGCTGGCTCAGGAATTCTGGGAGTTGAAGTCCATGAGTCATAAAAGAGCCAAGGTTCCCCACCCATGGCCTAGAACAGGGGTCTTCAAACTTGGCCCTTTTATGACTTGTGGACTTCAACTCCCAGAATTCCTCAGCCAGCGTGCCTTTAAAGAGCTGCAGAACACATTCTGAAGGACCTTATTTGGGAATCAGTGTCAAAGCATTGCTAGCCTTATTGACATATCTTTCCTTTCAAGAACTATGGATATACATTGAAGTACATCAAAACTGTCCACTGGGGAGGTCAAAAGAGGGGAGACTGATAAAAAGAACACTACGCTGTAGCAATGCAAGCTGTGTTCCTTTTGTATATGCCTTGTGAAGTCGCACTTATATTTAAAAAGGAGTAGAGTTCACATCATTTAAAAACATCAGGCAGGGTGTGCTTCTGCTTTTCTTCCTTGGGCTCATGCGTCTTCCCTATGGTGGGATATAGTTTGTAGGTGCTAGACTTTGCTTGTCACTCTAATGCATTTCCTGTAAAGAAACCTCCTTTTTTGTGATAAGTATAAAATCTGCCTCACTAACTTTATTTATTTATTTGTATCTCACCTTTATTATTTTGTCAAATTACTCAAAGTGGCAAACATATCCCATACACCTTCCTCCTCCTGTTTTCCCTACAAAAACAACTTTGTGAGATGGGTTTTGCTGAGAGAGACAGACAGGCTCAAAGTCACCCAGCCAGCTTTCAGGCCTAAGGCAGGACTAGAACTCACAGTCTCCTGGTGATTGGCCCAAAGTCACCCAGCCGCCTTTCATGCCTACGATGGGACTAGAACTCAGTCTCCTGGTGATTGGCCCAAAGCCACCCAGTTGGCTTTCATGGCTAAAGTAGGACTAGAACTCACAGTCTCCTGGTGATTGGCCCAAAGCCACCCAGTTGGCTTTCATGCCTACGATGGAACTAGAATTCACAGTCTCCTGGTGACTGGTCCAAAGTCACCCAGTTGGCTTTCATACCTATGATGGAACTAGACCTCACAGTCTCCTGGTGATTGGCCCAAGGTCACCCAGCCGCCTTTCATCCCTACGATGGAACTAGAATTTACAGTGTCCTGTGACTGGTCCAAAGTCACCCAGATGGTTTTCATGGCTATAAGGTGGGATTAGAACTCACAGTCTCCTGACGATTGGCCCAAAGTCACCCAGTAGGCTTTCATGACTAAGGTGGGACTAGAACTCACAGTCTTCTAGTGATTGACCCAAAGTCACTCAGCTGACTTTCATGCCTAAGGCGGGACTAGAACTCATAATCTCCTGCTTTCTAGCCTAATGTCTTAACCACTGGACCAAACTGGCTCAAATCCTAGCCCTGGTCCGATTTCCACCACTTGGACACTAACACTCCTAGATTTGTACTTCAAGAAATAGAGATCCTTGTTAAAAAATAAAAATAAAGATTCCATAGAGATCCTCAAGCATATTTTGTGTTGCCATCCATCAACCCATCCCTCCCAAAGTTATTCTTACCGCGAGAACAGCTGCAATAGGTATAGCTGCATTCATAAAAACTGTGGAAATAAGCACAAACCATCCATTCATTTGATATACCAAATATTTCAGAATCTGTACAGCACAATGTTTCGATATTATTTTCTGCCAGAATGAGAAAAAAGTGCGGGACTTCTCCTTAAGAGGGAAAAGAATTCTTCCCATGTCAAACAAAAACATACTGGAAATATTACAGTTTGTATACTTCATTGCGTTGGACAACCTATTCCCAGGAGAACTCTATGACTGTACATTTTAAATGTAACTCTGTGAGAAAAGGAATTGTTTGAAATTATGGTGTGGTATTAGCTGAAGCTCTAGAGAGCTCCTTAAAACTACAAATGAACTCGTTTTTCATGCTTTCATAGACATGGTCTCAATAATTAGTAATGTAAACCAACTCATGTCACAAAGTTTAAAAGGAACCCTTCGGAATTATTTGGAGACAGTTGTCACACATCTTCGGGTATGAGAAAAGCAAAGAGTTCAGAAGATTATTTTTAATGGATTGGGGCCTTTTTCCCCCCCTCAATCAAGGGAAATGTTAACTCATAAATTTCATTCTGTGACAGGAAGTGTCACGAGGCTGAGAAATGAATGCGGGAAACATAACATTTCCATCGCATGCGATTCCTCTATTCAGAATGGAAATTGAGAGGAAACTGAATTTTGAGAAGAAGCAGAAGCTAAACAAGGCTAAACAACAACATCACATGTGTCCCCCTAAACCAGGGGTCTTCAAACTTGGCCCTTTTATGACTTGTGGACTTCAACTCCCAGAATTCCTCAGCCAGCGTGTCTGGCGGAGGAATTCTGGGAGCTGAAGTCCACAAGTCATAAAAGGGCCAAGTTTGAAGACCCCTGCCCTAAACTCTAGTTCCTATCTCTCTGCTATAGAACATAGAATCATAGAGCTGGAAGGAACCTTGGAGATCCTCTAGACCAACCCTCTGCTCAAGGCAGGAGTCCTTATACTGGCCTAGTCAAATGATTAGGGTAGATGTTCCTAGTTCCTGAAACTGCTCGTCATACAATTTAGCCTCAAGACCCTTTATCATCATTTGTTGGGCTTCTCTAAACACTCTCCAGGGTTTCAACGTCTATTTTGCATCGTCGTGACCAGATCTGTATGCAATATTCCAAGTATGGCCTCAGTACTAAAGTATAACATGATATTATCACTTCTCGTGGTGATGCTATCCCTCTGCTGATGCAGCCCAGGACTGCAAAACTAAGATTGGAGCATCAAATTTAGAAACTAAACCGGGGTCTCCAAACTTGACAACTTTAAGACTTTTGGACTTCTAGAATTCCTCAGCCAAAACAGCCTCCTCCTATTCCTCCCCCTCCAACAACAACCCAGGAGGTGAGTTGGACTGGCCCAAAGTCACTCAGCTAGTCCTGTTTTTCATGACTAAAGCAGGACTAGAACTCACAGTCTCCTGGTGATTGGCCCAAAGGCACCCAGCTGGCTTTCATGCTTAAGGCGGGACTAGAACTCACAGTCTCCTAGTGATTGGCCCAAAGGCACCCAGCTGGCTTTCATGCTTAAGGCGGGACTAGAACTCACAGTCTCCTAGTGATTGGCTCAAAGGCACCCAGCTGGCTTTCATGCTTAAGG